CTCACAGCAGCTTCAGCTGCATTCAGCTGCTGCCAAAGTACTGCAAGAAGGAGCTACCATGTGATGATAGTACAGAATTCTTGTCTTCAATCAGTCATGCACAACATCACACGCCAGTCACGTAATATAGGGGCCTTAGCGGTTAGAATAGGGTTTGGGGGGTATATTCTACTATAACTATGATAGGGAACCCCCCCTACATTACATCAATGACGGACTGCAGGAGCAGGGCTTTGACAGCATCGGCCTCCCTTCGCCAAGCCCTCCGGAGAGGAGATCTTGAGATATGGACTGGTATTACTGCAGTATCGCACAGTAGAGTCTAATGTGTTAGGTCATCTTAAGTTATGTCATATTACATTACATGATCAAACTATATAGTGGAATATAATATTACATTACAGTATAGTAAAGTACAGGACACTGTCGTACAGTAAGTACGGCATGGTATATTGTATTTAGTTCACTTTCCTTTGCAATCTGATGTTGTTGTGCAATATCGTATGACATGTATGTATGCATGTAGGCATATATGTGTTTATGTGTATACATGTGTATACATGTGCGTGTGCCTGTGTATATGTATGTCTATATATATATATGTGTGTGTATGTGTGTGTGTATAATGTCCGTATTTGTGTATGTATGTTTGTACGTATGTATGTAGGTAGGTAGGTAGGTAGGTAGGTAGGCAGGCAGGCAGGCAGATATACACGCACGGTACATATATGTACACGCATATGTGTATAAACATCACGTGTCTGAACTTATTTGTTTGTATGCATTTTTATATTTATACTTAAGTTATACACGTGCGCAAACAACACGTAATACACGTATGTTTTGTTAATGCACATGTACATCTTCTGGATGCATAGATATAGAAGTGGATATAGGGGATGTGTATATGTGCAGGCATACATACATGCGCACATATGCCAAGCAGTTGACAACAGGTGTCTACATACGTGCATACGAGACACTGTTGGTCCTGAGACAATCCAACAGTCCTTGGACACTCTGGCTTCATGAGAGTTATTGCCGCTGGGATTGGTCTGGCCAGGGTGTGGCCGTTCTGTTGTCTTCTCGTCGCTGAATATGGGGTGCTACTCAACGGTCGTAGCCATCTCGTAAATTCCATGGATTCTAGATTTAGCCACCGGGGTCGGCCCCAGTCAGGAATCCTCCTCCACCTTCAAGGAGAAAGTCCCACCTCCACTGTCCAAACTGTCCAAGGTCCGCAGAAAGCGAGGACAGCGAGGATGCAGACGATGCCGGTCAGGCGGGCCTGGATTCCGCCAACCAACAAGATCAACAAGCTTCTGAGAGCCAGGCTTGGCAGAACTATGCAGAACTCACACCTTGCACAGGCCGGCTTCGAGTACATCCTGAAGATGCCCGGAGCTCGGGCTGACCTGAGCTGCGGGTTTCTTGGGGATCTCTGGCTCTTTCGGGGCTGCACCTGGCCTAAAGCCAACAGTAGTGCAACGCTCCAAGCACCCTCTACTGCGGCGTTCGGAGGGGTCGGACGCGAGCGAGAGAGAGAGAGAGACAACCACACAGACACCCAGACACTGCGTGTCTGTCTGTCTGTCTGTCTGTTTGCCTGTCCTTACAAGTTTCGCAGCATCTCATAGACTGGAGTGTCCTTGGAGTTTCCTGAAGCTGAATTTCAGAAGGAATTCCCGCGTGTGTTCGATTTTGAATTCCAAGATGAAGCTGGGCTGCCGGGGTGTCGTTTCGTGTTTTTTTTTTTTTGTGTGTGTGT